GATCTATAAGTTTGTCTCACACGGTGGTTGGTTCGTTACAAAAGCATGTACATCATATCGTTAGTCCTGCCACAGCATCTTCCACGTCTAGTGCCGATGTTCTTGAACCTGATACACTGTCAACTCTCGCTATCTTCCTCAGCGCAACCTCCATCAACGCATCCTGCATGCCACCAAGCAGGCTAGCCGCCTGATCCCTATCCCAATAGCTTTCGTTAAAGCACACGCTGAGGACGAGTTGGCCCTCCCATATCCATGTGTGCACCATCATGCGCATCGTTAGGGTCTCGGCACCTAGCCAAAAGTCCTTGACTTTGACCAGTCCGTCGCCGATGTTCTTGGAGACCTGCTCATCTACTTCGCCAAGGAAAGCAAAGCGCGGCTGTAATTGTCCGTCCGACTCGCCTTTCTTGCCGTGGTTGGGACCGAACAGCGTCTCTTCGAGGCGCTTGTGGAAGAAGGGTAACGACGGCAAGTACGGTGCATAGCCGGCAGCATAGACGGGTGCCAGTTGAGAGTAGTAGGAGTCGAAGTTGGTTTGCGGCGAGACGATGACCTCCGTAGTGATGACGCTGGTATAGCTCGTGGGCGAATTCTCAGGAGCTGCGCCTTCTGGAATCAGGGTGCGGAGGTTGGAGTGGAAAGAGGCCATGAAGCTTCGCGCTTCCTTTGTTTGTGCGAGTTTTGCAACGGAGCTGATGAGTGCGGCATGCAGAGCAATGTCAATAGCGAGAGCTGAAGTCTCGCAGCTATCGAAGACCGTCCTTGTATCCCGCTTGGAAAACTTGATAAAGTGCCGTTGAGTGTATCCCGGCCTTTGCGCTTTGATAGTGGGTGTCAGTTCTAGAGCTGGCTTGTGAGGCTCTAGTGCTGCGAGACGGCTTTCGGCTTGCGCTACAAGTTCTGGTGTTTCCTCGTGCCCGATACCAAGCGTCAACTCCATGCTCGGGGTCAAATTCTTGGCACATCCGCCAAAGACTAGGTTGGGGTTCATGTTGGCCAGAGACTCAACGAGGTGGTTGAGGCAGAAGATGGCGCCGCGGGCGTCGACACGATAGTGGGGGGACCAGATCATGACTTCGGATGTGTCGGGAAGGAAGTAGCACATCATCTGTTCGTTCCTTGGAATCCGGCCCAGCAGTTCGTCAACGGTTTTGCCCTCAGCAACGGAGAATGTTGCCGAAACCCACAAAGCGATTGAAGGTTCGTCTCCGACGCGATAGATGTATCGACCGTTGTATGGAAAAGCGGCAATCTCCGGATGGTTGTAGCGAACTTGTTTCCAAGCAGTCCGGAGGTAGCCAGCAGGATCTTTGATGTCAGGATGGAACTCGAGTTTCGCTACTGCGTTCTTGGCCCAGTTGTCGCGGCCAATTGCGTTTGGAACATTTCGGGTGAGTATGTTTATCCTCTCGAGGTATGTTTGCGCGCGCTCCCAACGGCCTGGTCGGGTCTCTTTCCAGGTAGCGTCTGCCATGATTGCTGAGTAGAGAAGGAGCAGGAGTCAAGAGAGGAAGAGCTGAAAAAGGTAGAGAAGAAGTAGGATAACTAAACAGTCCAAGGGAGAAGTGGATACCTGCAGTTAAAAGATATCGCCGAAGCCTGGGGTATTGTCTCACATATATAGTTAAGTGGGCCGCTACATGCGTGAAGTTCCAAGCTGGGCATGCCGAAGAAGTCCAGCCTCAGGTTCCTTTTCCGAAGCTGCCTAAGCACAATACCATGCCAAAGCAGCGGCATCATATCGGAGCATTGTTCCGGAAGCGCTAGTCATGGCGAAAAGGGTTTCTCACCGTTTATACCAGACTACCGAGTTCAGCTTGGCCCAAGACAACTTGAAAAGAGTCTTTTCCTGCAGCCACCAAATACACTCGCCCCAGGCACGACCTTTCAGTGGAAGCATCGCTCAGCGCTTGTGTGCGCGGGCGTACTTCGGGCTGTGAGCCTCGAGCATTGCGTGTTCTGGACGGGTCTGGGTCGTGGTGTTTCGATATATAGCCAAGGATGCGGATCGAGGCGAACGGCCCGCTGCACGCTACATCCGTATAGCCCATCGCGTATCGCCGACGTCATAGTTGCTTTTTGTCCAACTCCAAGGCTCTAAATCCATTCTTATAAGACCAAGATACTTAGCAATAATATCTAAGCATGCACTATGTTTACGTCGAAGGTCGATCAGAATCCGATCATACTTTCATAAGTAGATCAACCTAGACGTTGTTAGCGTATCTGCTCCAAACTTTAAGCCGTTGTTAGCACTAATAAACTGGTCTTTCCGTGCGATCTGTGGAAACCAAACTTGCGCGGCAGATCGTAGGTATAGGGGGGTTTGTACGCAAGGATTGTGATCATGAGGGTATTGGTAGTGCACCATCGAAGTACTACGTTCGTACATCAAGTCGGACCAGGCGTAACGCGCCACGCGCCGCCTTTCAACATCGTCCTACCCCTTGTCAAAGTTTCTAGTATATGCAATCCGGAGTGACACACAAGTGAAAGATGGTGTAAAATCGAGGGTTCGCGACAGGGTCAAATGGGGACGATAATAAACAGGAGTATGAGCAGGAATAGCCGTTGGGTCGGCTTGGGAGTTAGGGTACCAATTGAGTTCAACAGGCAATCTAGCGCGGGTCGATGCGGGTGGTGAGGCGTGAGATTTGACGTCATAGCGTTGAGACACAGCCTTGTCGATATCGGTGGAGGTTGTGTTTCAGGGGAGCAACTAGGCGGTCAAATCAAGTATGCGAGTAACACTAACATAGTAAGCTGAAGGACATTCACAAATACAAGCCGTTCTCGACCATGGACCGAGTGCACTGTTATGCTCACGTGAGCGATCACGATCGTGGGACGAATTCCCTGGAATTGAATCACTCAGAACGCGTCCATATGTTCCTAGCAATGCCGAGTGACTCGAAGAGAAGTGAGGGGCTATTTTGCGAGACAAAAGCAAAACAGGATTGGTGTCGATGCTCGTTGCGTCGCGCTTGTGGAGATGATCGGTGTTCTTGCTAGCTGGAGCTAAGCTCCCCGCACACGGTGCCAAGACTACCGGATGTGGGGACGAGTTCCGCGTGCCTCATTCGGCCTCAGCCGCATCGCCTCTGACCCTCTACTGCACATAAGCATCCTTCGTGACCTTGCTACCTCCTCACCTGCTCGCAATACCAATAACACGCCGCTGTTGAAATGTCATACTCGATCTTAGATACAAGCTACGACAAGCAAAGTGGTAGCATTGCCGAATTCATGATGCATCACGACAATCGTGGAGAGCGACTATACTTGAAGGTAAATGCAACTATCATCACCATCAGACTGTATCCTGCTCTTCTATGCAATCATAAATCGGATGATTTGCGCATACCAGATCAGGTTCCTTTCCAATTCTAGTACCTATTCCGCAGATTTACGGTACAGCAGCGTGAATTTACGAAGTCCAGCTTCAGATGGCGCAAAGGACGTTGAACACGAATGCGAACATCCGCGCTATGTCAACGTACTAAGCAATATGCTCACCAAACGGGGAGGCAGCACGCGAACCCGATCAACGCTCAAAAGTCATTGCTTTTTTACAGGATTCCTCCCAGACGCCTTACAATGCCTACACCAGACTATACAATGCGCCCCTCGTTGCACCATTGCGAGTGGCGCCAATACTACAGGTGGGGCGAAAAACAATTACAGAACGCCAAACGACATGTAACGGCGTTCTCATCGTCCACTTTCGTCCATCCCCCGTCGCACTTCAACCAGATCCACATTTATTTCGAACAGATTGCGACTAATAGCAGTCTAGATGCGCATGCTCGCGCTTTGAGTGCTCAGATCAGGCAGCTGAGCGACATTGCAAGTGAACACTCAGCTCCTTCACCAACAGCCTGCCACCGTCTAGTGCAAGAGACACACACCCCTTTCCTACAATTTCCGAGCTTGTTGGCGGCCCAAAACATGATATTGATTTCGTTTTCACGTCTGCACCATCTAGCCTGTCACTGCATCCCACATGTTGTATCATATCTTGTTCGCCTCTGCTATGCCTAGCACGTGCAACGCAAATAGATCGTAGTTGAGTTCTGGCAGATGTGACTTGTAAGACCCAAATTCGACTAAGACTCTCGACTTTTCCGTAAAGCTCGTCTCTCTAAGCATATCAGTTGCAGGCGCTGCGAACTACAATTCTAGTGGTATCACAAACTCCAAGCGCAAGATGATGCGCATCTCTCGCTCCGTGCTATTGAAAGCCCAAGGTATGATTTGTCGTATCTCCTTAGATTTACTACCTGGATCTCTGCATGCGGAATCTGTCTTGCTCCCCAATGATGACAAAGTTCGTTGCATTAACGACCAATCTGAAAATCTTGGCTATAGTAGAATTTTGACCCCCTCTTTGGATTTCTAAGCGCGCTGGAGTGTGCCGAAGTCACTGAACAGTGAGCTGAGATCTTGGCACATCAAAGATACATGTAGGCGGCACGTGCACGGATATGGTAGCGTATGAAACAGCTTACGTTTACCGTATTTACAATCAGTGGTTGATCATCTTATGTCAAACAGTGTGACTTCTATACAAGTCCTAAGATTTTCGTCCGCGATGTACGCTGTCAAATTGCTACTTCGTGGAGTAGAAGCGGACGGTGGCTACCAAATCCCTGCCAGCCTCGCTAACAAGCCCCTACTAGCGGCGTGCTAGTCCCTCCTGTCCCTTGCTAGACTTCGCGAGGGTTTGTCCGGAGTCATTACCACCGGGTGCTATCCAGTGTCGCCGAGACCGACCTTGAAAAGTTCCGTCATTGGTCCCTAGACTCCGCGTTGTGGCATGATTCAGACTATTCTTCTATCTCAACCTCAGGTAACGACATGTACCCGGACGAATTATCACAAGGCGAGGGTCAAAGATTGGCGTATATAGTAACGATGTTCTATACATGTTTCTATGTCTATATTGCTGTGACATCTTTACCCTTTCCTCAGCACATCGTTCCCAGAAAGATCTAAGGATGTCGTCCACCACCACTGTTCTCATTACAGGCGCAAACCGCGGTTCGTCCGAGTTTTCCTTCATTGAGAACTGCTTCGGGATACTAACTTTACATCTCTAGGCATTGGCCAGGGTCTTGTAAGCGCATATCTTGGTCGCCCGAACACGACCGTTGCAGCAGCAGTTCGTAATATCGCAACTGCTGAGTCTCTGAGGTCTTTGCCAAAGTCTTCTGGTTCCCAACTTATTGTCATCGAAATTGATGTCGCATCTTCTGATTCCATCAGACGCGGTATCAAATCCCTGACAGCGGAATACGAATTGGATAGCCTTGACATAGTTATCGCCAATGCGGGCATGGCGGTCAAGAGCTCCAAACTCATCGAGATGGCAACTCACGATATCCAACCCTTCGTCGATGTCAACGCGTATGGTCAGCTGGAGTTGTTCAGGGCCGTGCTTCCGTTGTTGCGAAGATCGAAGAAGGCGGCAAAGGGTAAGTTTATGTACATGTCCAGTATCGGTGGGAGCTTGACGACTATGGACAATATGCTTCCTGCAGCGGCATATGGCGCAAGCAAAGCGCTCGGCAATTTCTTTGTCAAATGGCTGTCCCTTGAGCAAAAGGATGTCGTGATATGGGCCCAAAATCCCGGGTGAGTACACGTACACGCTGATCTTGTTCTTGTGCTGATCGAAATACAGTCTGGTAGCGACAGAAACGGCCAAAGCTGCACTCGAAGACATGAAATCTCAGGGTCCAGACTTGACAGCACTAGCCCTTCCAGTAGAACAGGTTTGCCAGGATTTGTTGCATTTGGTATGTAAAGCTTTGCACCTACTTTGCAGCTGCTAAGAAAGCTATGATAGACTGAAAATGCCACCTTGGAGACTACGCATGGAAAGTTTCTGGGACCTGATGGTGAGGAGCTACCATGGTAGAGTTCTGCTAGAGAAAGCCACAGTTTAGACGATCACATAAAGTCAACCATTTCAACATCATTTTGTAAGATAAACATTGGTTTGGATTCACGGGCATCAATAGGCAATTGCCGTACGATCTAAGTTACCACAAGGCCGATCTTATACTGTATCAGGACTTGCTCTCGTAGATATATAGCTATCCGGATGCTAGTGCTGCTACTTAGTACACTGTGCCAATGTAGCCTCGATTGAGCTTATGATAACAGAGTTGCGGTGTTGAAGTTGAGGCGTTGCATACACAGATCGGGCCTTTTACTGGGGCGGGCGTTTCGCGGTGATTCTCAGTCTTCAAGGCGCGGATTGAGGAGAGTTGTACTCGAATGCATTGACAAGAGATTGACAACTCGCCTGCCAAACTATACCACAAACTCAGGATGTTCCAACTGGATGTCCAGGCATCGTCTCAGACAAGCTGCAATCTGATTGATAATCTACTAGTATATGCTTGCCGCCATCTGCTCCGTCCTTTCTTGTCCGCCGGACAAATACACTGGCGCAGTCACTCGGCATGATAGACCCTTGCTAAGCTCATCCAGCCGATGCAAACACCAAAACCTCGCTCGAGAGCCGCATTGCTAAAGCTTCGTACTCGAACAGCCATGAACATCATATCACTGCAATATCGGTTTGACGAACATGATTATCATCGCATCTTCTTTGAGGCCTCATCGTTACCACTTCAAGCAAGGCATCGTGTTCTAAGTTGTTCGGATCCCAGAGTATAAAATTGGGATACGCCTTCTGAGGGTGGCGTCGGTACAGTCATGTATCGTTGCCAAGGTCTCAATGTGGGGAACACTTACAATCTGGATATCGAGCTTTGGAGCCAAGAAGTTCATTTGAATGGCCTCAACAGTGCTCTACCTAAAAACACGAAGTGGGTTTCGCAAAATGAGGGAGAGGCCCAACTAAGTGAAAGATTCGCAAGTTGCAACGTAGCTCGCAACTTCTAGACATGCATCAGGCTAGGATTGAGCAGATAGCCATAACAAAGTCTTGCGATGTAGCTGGTATGAATGTGCTTAAATGCTCGCGATCGATGAAGATCTGATTAAGTAGGTTTTGTCGAGGTCCAAGCGCATCAGACGGCTTGAGGCTGTTATAGTCATTCCAGCCCGCTGAAGTCAACGCACGTAATACATTATTTTCTACTTCTGAACTCCAACACTACCTTACGGTGAAGCCTAATCTTTCATACCCTACAACTTATTCCTTCAAGTTTGAACAGGTTCACCCAGGTCTTGTCTGGATACCTGCGGCGGAGAGAGTACCCTCATCTCCTCCTCACGCTGAGTTTGCGGATCCAGATCAAGTTCGTCCGTCTTATACCACTTCAATCTATCCAGCGTCTGCGAAAGAACTGCAAAGTCATCGCTTGTGCGAATCCACATTCGACGGTTGATCAGTTTGAAGATGACGAACAGCACAAATAAGATGATAGGGCTCGCGTAGCCGATCGCGACCTTTGAAAACGTGATATCCTTATCCCACCATGTCGCACTGCAGAAAGCGAAGACGATGACGCAGCCTGCGATCGCGGCGATGGCTGGGAGCGGTTGTAGGAAAGCAAGCACCGTAAACGGTCGGTAAGAGCCGTCCCTGCGGTTGAATTGCTGGTATTTGTCGACGAGGTTCTGGTCGCAGTGTTTAAGCCTGTGTAGTCAGTCAGTAAAGCTTCAGATGTGGTAGAACATAATGGGCTTGACAGACCAGATGTAGTAGCGCAAATATGCAAAGGATATGGAAGCCCAGACAATCAGGCAGCTGACACTTGCAGAGATCTGGAAAATCTCGATGACCTTGGTTGACTGTCAGTCTAGTCGTGTTTTTACTTGACTGATCGTGACTTACATATTGTACTGCATATCCGCCTTTGAGACTGAGGAAAGGCAACCATAGGAACGCGCCTGCGGAGAAAATCAGGGCACGAGCCGGGACTCCAGTCTTTGGCACCACCACAGAAAAGCTATGCAGAAACTTGCCCAGCCTGTTCGTCGTTGGTACATCCCTCGCAATACCGTAAAGTGTTCGCGATGCGACGTAGAGTGAGGTATTAGCTGCTGATATGACGCTAAAGATCATAGCACCATTCAAAAACCCTGCCAAACCTTTTTGTCCCTGGGCCCAGAGTGCAATAATGGTGAGATTACTGGAGGTCGGGTTTTTGAGTTCGTTGGTATCTGTTGTGCTGTTCCCTATACCGCCATAGATCAATGGAAGATGCTCATCCTGCCATGAGACGTTGAGGCATTGTCCAAGTAGACATAAAAAGTATAGTAAAAGTACGACGTAAGCTATTGACTGAGATGGAAGCCGTAAGGAGCGGGATGTGTGTGCTTCGAATGCGGTCACGGCGACGGTCTCGATACCAAGGAAACCAAAAGCGATCATAGGGATCACATACCTACCGGAAGTTTAGCTCTCCATACTCAATATACACGTTCTAAGACCATGAAAGGCTTACGCAAGGGCGCGGTACTTGTTGGTAGTGTAATCTTGGTTGTATTTGAAGCCATCTTGTATCGCTGCTCTGATTAGCACAGTTTAAGATACTGGCTATGTAGACATACGCCCACCTCGAGACCACAAGCTTTCTAGGATTTGTTAGACGATGTAAGAATGGCTGAATGTTTTTGACGTACGTTGTGCAGAGATAACATAGAGAACGATAGTGGCCCCCAACACGAGCATGATCTTGAGGATGCCACCAATAGCCTCTATCCATCCGAAAGTCCCAACACCAACAAGATTTATGGCGACAAGAACTCCAGGTGTGACGAAATAGAAGAGTACAATCTGCCAGACCTGCGTCAATCCCCAGTATACAGCCAAATTCGCAGCTGCGAGGTTTTGCGTAGCAAAGATTGAGGAGTATGTAAACCTGTACAGATATCAGCGCTATGTTTTGTATCAGAGGTTGCTAATTTGTTACCAGTATGCGATACCAATCACCCATGCGAGGTCTTCATCCACAAAAGCTCTCACGTATTCGACGATCGCATTTGGGGCGGGAAAGAGCTGGGTCAACTCGCTCAAGCCTTCGGCGGCACAGATTGCGATCACACCTGCCATATTCAGTCAGCTTTCGATAGGGGCAACAGTATTAGTGGAAGAGAGTGTCGAACCCATAATGACCAGAGCAACTAAAGCTCCGGCCGGTCCAGCGACCTTCATTGACGCGCCACCGTTGCTGAAGATGCCGCCACCTATTACGGCGCTGATGACAATGAACTGTTTACTGGTATATTAGCTAGAGTTTTAGAGTTGACAGAAGTCTACACAGGTATCATACAAAGATCATCCATCCCTTAAGATTTTGCCTACGCTGTGTTAGCCTTGTACCTAGACACCAAACCATATACACAAATGCAACTGACTTCAGTTTCGGCGTGTTGATTTCGGCAGACATGATTGCAGCTCCTTGCACCAGCCGTAGGCATCAAAAGAAGGTGCTGAGCAACAGGGTTGTAGTCACGCGCATGAACAGGTAGGGCAGGCTGATTATCTAGCAGCCCAGTCATCTTCAGCTTTGGAGGACTTCACCAGGCTGAGAGCGGCTGAAGCGCGTGAAGAGCGCCGTGGCAACATCCACTCGGCTATTTTGAGCAGCCTCTCCAGTAGCATGACTCTCTTCATGCAGCCTGCTAATAATGACTCCCCCGCGGAAGCCATGAGGCAGACAGGCTATAATACGGTCGTACGGTCATGAACATCACACGCAAGAGGATCTGAGATCTCAAGACGCTTTTCTGAACGATTTGAAATTTAATTGATTTGCACTATGGTCCTCAACGTCATCGAGCCGGCCCAAACGCGGTACATCCTGGCCGCAGAGGATCTAGAGAACTTTTTGAAAGATAAATTCAGCGACGAGTATCCGGACTACGATTTCAAAGTTGAGGTGTGCAGCACGATTAAGAAGAGTAACCAAGTCCACAGCTTACTGTCGTGCAGCATGTATGTGATAGGTGGACCTTCGAAGCACCTGAGAAAGTAGACCCGGTATGAAAAGTCGTTTTAGTTCGCATTGCAAGTCTAATCAACTCCCAGGAAGACATATTGTGTGTATCGCATTCGAAGAACATCATGGCGTTCCACTAAATAGCTTTCCAGGAATCTGATTGAGGAGATCGAAGCAAGAGGGTAGGAGCTGATGGGTGGCGGGCCGAAGATTTGTGGTTGAATCAGGATCTGTGATGATGCCTGTAGATCTAGTTGACCAATTGATTGTTGTAGCGTTGAGACGGGGTGTGATGGGCCGATCAGAGTATACTTGTTAGCGAAGCATGAACTCCGTGTGCGGCTGAACTGCGCCCACTATCTGCATGGACTTTATGTGCGGCTGAGCTGCGCCCACCATCTGCATGGACCCCACATGTAGCTGAGCTGCACCCGCCATTTGCGAGGCGGACTTTGCCGATGGGCCGGGCTGTCGTGTGACGATCATGCTGCGACCAGGCTGAAATCATGATTTTGGCCGCAGCATTGCTGCGCCTTCTTTCTTGACCGGTTCCATTTCGCTTTGGAAGGAGAAAGACTGGACTATATATTATTTTCTAGTCTCAAGTGACGGCCGCGTCATTCAGTATTGTGTATAATGTTGTCAATCGATTCTCAGCCGCGTGTCTGGCCGTGGAGTTTCTCAAAGCCAAAAGTTCTCTTGAAGGATGATAGTACTGCAGTAAACATCAGAATCACAGATATTGCGAAAGGTAAGGAAACGAATGTGGTAGTAGATCGTAAGAAACTCACGCGTATCAGATTCGTATACATCAATACTTCATACATCACCAAGCGAGGCTGAAAAGGCGCTCAGTCGCAAGGCGCTCAAACCAACGCGAGTCCGGATCATGTCAGTTGACCTATAACTTGCCAACCGCCTCTTCATAATAACAATGAACAGCTCGATTTACTCCCGCAAGACAATATCAGCCCTAGACATTACTAATAGTCTTCTGGAGCATGTCTTCGAACAATACCACATTCCTTACGATTTCGCAGACGTCGTAGCCTCGTTCGGACAAGACCCGAACATTGCAGAAGGGAGCAGTAGCAACGCAGCTATACGTGCTAAAGCCCTGGGTGATTGTAACCTGGTTTACCAAATCCGCTACGTAGAACAAAATCGACGTGGTGGACAGGATCCCTGGTCATTTCGACATACAGGAGTTTTCCATTGCCATGATGAGGTTGATACTATTGTCTTGTTACATCCAATTCGAGCGCCATCTGTCGAGTCAGTCATAACAGCCACGGAGAAAGATCCTGTGGCACGAGCAGAGTTTTGTAGTAATCCATTTCTGCTGCACACCTGGCTCTTTCGACAGTATTTCGATAATTGGCGCTGGTACTTCCGCTATATCGGAGAACGTTTCGCAGAGGAGAACAATTTAGCCATGGTGGTGAAGCCCGAGCACACAGAACCGAACTCTAGCTTCCTTCGCGTCCAACGATTACGCAATACCAACGACTTCATTCTCTTCGCACGAGCATGCTGTTCCGGTAACTTGGCTTTGATGGAGCAATTTTCAGAAACATCGATTGAGGTGTTGAGCCAACTGGAGAACCTGAGTGCACACAAGTCCAAGATGAAAGGATATATCGAGAGCGCAGACGTGCTTGAAGGAAGAGTGCATAACTTGATCGATCTCGTTAGTACCGTGAACATTTTATCTGGAAAAAGCTAAACTCAAGCAGGTTGGGTATACTCTGACATTGCACAACCAATTGGAAGCAGCGAAAATAGACACCGAGTTGCGGGACTTGACTGAGGGACTGAAAAAGCTTACAGAAGACACTGTCGATGACAGCGCGACTGTAAAGATTATAACCTTCGTGTCTGCGGTCTATCTGCCAGGAAATTTCATCGCTGTAAGTATTGGACTCGCTCTGTATATCTAATAATTTTCATTAACATGATGACAGTCGATTTTCGGCATGAACTTGTTTCTTTTCAATCCTGTCTCTAAGAGGCTCCAGGTCTCTCCAGACTTTTGGATCTTCATCGCTACTTGGATACCTCTCATTGTCATGACTGGCGCCATATACTTTCTTATCTTGTATCTCGATTCTAGAATCAAGCGGAAGCCGTTCCGATGGCCGTTACAGATCAAGCCACACAGCAAGAATACGGCGTCTTGTTCAGAGAAGGGGAAGATACAGTCAGGGTAAGGGGCCAACCACGATCTCTTGTGATCCTTATGTATACAACTCGCCCGCTCATCAACATCTGTCAATATTACATGTGCAACAATGTAGTATGTAGAAAAATGCATTATTTAAATTCTATTGAACATTTGAAACCTGTCCCTGGGTTTGCTACATGACTCCCCTAGCGACAATTGGGATGAAGACGACTTTGTTCTCCAACATACATAGAATGATCACAAGATTATCAGTGTTCGGCACTGCAACCACTCTCACCTGAGTAATCTTGTCAGCAGAGAATCTCCACTCTACAAGTGGCTTCTTGGCTGCGTTTTCGATGACGTGGTTTCCACCACCAACGATACGATACTCTCTGATGCGAGTATGCCAGTAACCTTTTTCCACCACTATTAGTGAATGATCCCCAAAGACGCAAGCTGCTACAGTATCTGCTATTGTCTTTTCTATCCTAGGAAGTAGCTCGCGGTTTCCTCGCTGCGTGCTGCGTATTTGGGCGGGAAAGAAAGCGCCGCTAGGAGCATGGATAATGCAACCTTGGTAGCTATTGTACGGGACGATCTTTACATCTGAACTTCCTTGCTGTTTCTGAAAACTGTTACTATTTATCTCTCGAGAAGAACTTCGGTCTTACTGATTCATAGCTTCCTTCAGAATCTGTGGGTTGTATCAGTTTTCTTGTAGCTTCATCAATCCGCCAAATATGTAACCGGTCGTCTGGTCGGCCGAAAGACCATGCATAGAGAACACTGCCATCATCATTGAACCTGGCATCAGTGAATGTTTGGTCCCCTGATGAGGGAATAGTCTCGCTACTTGAAGTGTTACTACAATAAGTCAATTGACTGTCACGGTGGCATTCAGGGTACAGGCGACTGACCCCAAGTTGACGTAACATATGATCTTGGTACTCACAAGCGCCACTGAGCCGTAACGAGACATAGCTACAGTAACAAGTGAGGCAAGTCGTTGTTCGATTGTCGAGTTCCAGGCCACAAGAACGCCGGCGGCTCCCCCAATCCAGACCTGTATGAAATCGTCAGTCTCGATGAAAATACTTCTGACGTGGTGTAACTACATGTTTGATTCCCCCAGCCTGATTGCCCCATACCGCAAAGTTATAGCCCGCCTGAACGATATGTTTCCATACCGGGCCCGCCGGGAGGATGATCTCCTGGGGAACCTGAACACTTGAGTCTCCCAAGGATACTTTATGGAGGAAAACAGTCTGGCAGGCTTTCTTTGGCTGTGTGACAAGGTAGGCCATATATTGCCCAGATGGGCAGAGTGAAATAGAATGAATTGTTAATTTTCGTAAGCTGGGAATAACAAACTCGACTGGGATCCCTATATCACGTTCTTTGTCTTGATTGGTCGTGACTCCGTGAAGGCCGGCTCTAGACATTCCGCCAATAGACCGACGGGATCTATCTGATTGATTGTCGTGAGAGGTATCGTTTGCTTCACTTAGACTCATGGTGTTCGCTAATCCTCTGGCCGAGTCACGGCGCCCAGAAGTCGGATACTTCTGGCCTTGAATATCGTTTGGACGAAGTTCTAGTCCAGCGGGAAGAAGAGACGGCGATGTAATCTGATTTTGCGTCTGGAGCGTAACTGTCGCGCAGGGAATTTGATCTGAGAAGTCGGTAGTGCTGTTGTATGACATGATAGCACCGTTCTCGGATAGCATGTCTTCCTTGCCCACTCCGGATGCGGTCAGTTTAATGGAAGGCAGTCGGTTGACTTCTTCTGATTGTGATGCATCGGATAGATCTGGGAGAGGTGGGTCGAAAGGGCTCTGGAGTTTTGACCATTCCAGTGGACAGTTTTGGAGGCTATTAGATTTACGAGCATGGGTGACGTGATGTACGACATGCTGCATCTTCTTGACCAGAGGTTCAGCTCCAATCCTTTGTGAGCCGTCTACTTCGAGAATGGTGCGAATGGTCTGGACACAGCAATCAATAGTCCTGTTCGTATTCGTGTATCTCATGGGTAGATTTCGTAACCATTGGTCGACCCCAGATCGAAGACGGTAGGACTGCCGGGTCTGTGTACCAAGTCTCCCGTTCACCTGCACATTCTCTCTATACTCCTCGTAAAAGAAATCGTTTTTGAATTTGTTCAGGCCTTCTGGAGTATCACCCTTGTTCTGGATCTGCTTCCGACACACCCGGAACTCTTCCACGGCAGCTCTTCGACCCAGTGCAAAGCTAAGCACCTCGGCAAAAATGCAACCAAAGGCCCAGATGTCCCCTCTTCTTCCTGCACTTCTTTGGTCCGTCTTTTCTGTCTCCGGAGGTTGGTAAGCGCCTGGTAGACGAGCAGGAGCTGTTCTGAAAGTCAGATTTTCAAACGACACAAGATCGGCAGAGACTGCCTCGTCATCTTCTTTGAAGGTTGAGATGCCAAAATCTGTCAGTATCCACTTTCCTACGGATGAACGCTCCTCCCTATCAATAAGAATATTATTTGGCTTCAAGTCCATATGCGCAAAGTGAACCAGGTTTTGGAGGTCTCCCCCGAAACCCGTATGAAGCCATTTCAGGGCTTCGGAGATGTAAAGCATTTGTCTGCATGTATCTTGTAGTATTGTTGCCGGCTGTATTTTTGGAAAGCGTAATTTGAACTCGTACAGTGGTTCGCCTGAATATGAGTAGCCTTCACGAAGGAAGAAGTCGAGGTCAAAGTGGTCGGCCCATGGCAACAGAATGTGATGTTCTCCCCTGTAAAATATAATCACTACATGCGTTCGGATATGACCATGGGTTGTTCTGCTCGTCTTCAAGACTTGCAAGTTATCCAGCTCGCGCTTTGCCGCTTGATTCGAGAGATTTGAGGGATGGAATGTTTTGCAGGCAACAAACTTGACCTGCTATCGTTAAAGGAGGGTCAGAAATGTCTGGCGGTTTCCTTACCTTGTGGTTTTGATTGTTATCCAAGGTATTGAAGTAAAATGGTGATATGCCTTTCTTGTCGACTTTTCCGTATGCGCCCCCAAAAACATCTTTTGAGATCACTTCGAAAGGAAGTCGGCGCTGGTCGTCAATAGTTTGAACTGTTGGGGACTCGAACAGCGGCTCCTACATTCCTTGTAAGTATGATATGCACTAGACGGGAGAGTACTTCGACGTACTGGCGTGAAGAGAAATTGGTAGTTGAAGAAGTCTCGGCAAAGAGCGAGGTCTTCAAAAGGTGGCACTTGATTGTCCCTGTATGGTAGGCTCGAGTCCCTGTACAGCAGATGTCCTGCCTCATCGAAAAGACTGCTGGGGAAGCCGTCCAAGAAATCATCGGCGCGGATGAAAACAAGAACTGACAAGAATCGCAACAAGTCTTCCGTGATAAGCTTAACTTGTGCTAGCGTCACATTGGCCTGGAAGACACGCTGAAGGGTGTCGTTGCCAGACCAGGCTTTCTGGATGTCCTGATATCGAATGTAGTCGTTGTTGAAACTTTTGGGATTCTGAATGTTGTGGTGGAGTTGAGTCCTGATCCAAGTCCGCGTTTCCTTTGCGATAGCGGCGCTCGGCACCATATTTGGTCACGCTTTCACGCGATAGAGATCCTGATCGAGGAAGGATGAGGAGAGTTCAGAGGGGTGTAGCTGCCGGCGCCTACCAGGCTGTGGATTAGGCATCGGCTCGAGCTGAAATGCCCGCAGTTTGTGGCGCCCAGCAGTGGGCAGACGATTGCCAGAATTCTGGATTCAGCTAGCTCCAACTCTCATTGCGCCACCTATCTAAAGGAGTCGGGTCCAGGCTGCAGACCAGACGCCGGCCCAACCCACCGAGACATGAGGCCTGTCATGCTTTTCGTGGTTCTTCAGCCTCGTTTGCTGGTTGGAAAGCCCTCCAACTGCCTCCTGTTTCTGCCTTGCGCCTCTTCCTCAATTTCATCCACCCCTGTCCCTAGATATCCTTCTGATTGGTGTTGCTTTTGTAGCTGTCACCTTTTGAGTTTCCAGGACATTCTGAGTTATTGAAGGCGCTTTATTGACGAACAGTACTTCCTGGAACCATCAGCCTTCCCTTCCATCTCTGCAAGGCTTATCCAACCAGATACGTCTATTCGATGGAACAGCTAGTTCTATGGGTGCGAACAGCTACGAGGGGAACAATGTTCCAGCATCACAAGCGAAGGCGTGCAAAAGCGCGCCTATACAATGGTGCAGATAGCAAAGAGCTGAGAAAGGCCGACAATCGTTTGCTATGCGATTGCACGATCGAAGCGACGCGCCGAGCTGAGTTGTTTTGCATTTGCTACCCCGCCACCCACGTCAATCAGCTCTCTACTGCCTTTGCCCTCCCATTCCTCCTGGCTTGTAGTATCTCCATGGCCCGTCAGCAGATCATTCCGTGTTTCTTAGTCATCGTCGGGATGTCATCCAGCAGCTTCTCTGAAATTGTGTTGAAGAAGGTGAATTAGTGCGTCGATTCACTCGCGCCTTGGTTCTAGCTCCGCATCACGTGAGAGCTACGATGAGGTATGGGGTAGATAGGGAGGCCTTAGCAAGCACGTTTGCGAGGATGAAGAAAAGCGTAAATGACATACAAGTATCGTGCGAGGATATCAGGGGCGCTGCGACGCACACAGCGTGGTTGACCGTGGTCGCTGACTCTGCCCGAGTATTCCAGGTAGTGTCCTCCGTCGGCGGAAGTCAGTCTAACATTTAGAATCATCGCGCAGTGCACGTATCATTCTAGATGAGCCGCGATGGTTCACGTATGTGTGTAGTGTTTGGCGCAAAGATGCAAGGTACAGGTTAGCGCGGAGCAAGAGTAGACTGACCACCAGAATCAGTAGCTCGAGCTCAACCTCGATATAACGTAACAACAACCATCACCAACATAGACCCTGTAGCATTCCTGTGGGGGAATTGAAACGCTGGTCGGACTCATACAGGCCCGGGTATCTGCTCATTGAAAAGATGTGATCGGGATACACAGGTGAAAGAATCTTCGACGTGTTGCGTAAGCAAGACAAACCGCGATGGTCGGCATATTCTGTCCTGTTACGCATCTGCTGAGCGACGCGCTCTGGCCCTCTCATCATCGCAATTTCGATGCAAACATCATCAGCAGCAGCTATGCTTGCTAGGGCTTTCGCGTATCAAGGACGCGAGCTGACTGCAAAAAGCTCGGCTCATCCTACACATGCCTCTCTAATGTCGAAATCATTATATAGGCATCGGTACAGAATTCAAAGCATAATGTACGGCATGTATCTCTAGGTACATTGCTGTTCTTTGTCGAATGCTCAGAATTCATTACATTTCTTCGTACTTACCTAGAGATTGGTGGGATCAGGTAAATGGAATCCCTTCGGCGGAATTCTCAGTTCCACGGTATATAATTCTTGAGCTCTTGGATCTTCTCATTTGGAAGAACCCGCTCGTCTGGATTGCATAGTGACAAAGCCATGTCAAACAAGGCCCAATCTCTCGCACCCGGATTTTCGATCTTAATCTTCCGGCCAAAGCTTCGATGATGGTTATTTATCACCGCCAAGGTACTTCTGGATTGACAAGCCAAACGCACTATCGTGAGTTCGCGGCCCATCCCTGGGCTCAGCGCTTGTCGGGCAGTGTCCATCGCTGCCAATCCTTCGTACATCATATAGTCGGCCGTCAAGTCCTCGAACTCCCCTCCCTGTCCAGGCTGTCCTGTGTCTCCTGCTGACTCCCTTGCTTCCAATGGAAAGAGACATGAGGCAGATACGTATCGTTGTACCAAGATGCGAGTCCGAGGATTATATTCTCAATCTCGTTACCGAGCTTTTGAAGCCCACCTAGATTTGTGTGCAATCGTTTGCCGGCTTGATAGAAGGTACGTGAGAGCGCGATGTATACAGGGGCTATCTGTTTGTGCGTCGGGCCGAGAACGATTTTGGGCAGAAACGGATCATTGACTTTCTGTATCTGTTTCTGTACCGAGGGGTGCTTCACATCCTCGTATATAGTCTTGTTGACTTGAAGCAGTGAGGTTGGCATTTGATATACCTTCCAGCTGCAGATCAAGGGCTCGGAGAAAACGGGCTCGTAAGCGATTTCCGGCAGATAGCTGTAGATTTCCCAGCGCAATTCGGTCGGCAAGTCCATGAACGGGAAGCCACCTGCTTCTCGCATCGTGACTGTGGAATGGTCGTTCATTTGGGTGGGGGCGCACGTCGTAGGGCCTGACTTCCTTCAGCGCTGTTTGTATTAGTGAACGCTTTCGCTCAAGATGATTTTGGGTGAAAATATTTGTATATCTAACAGTGAAAAGTCCAGGCAAGGTTTTATAGGCTTTGGAATTTTATTCTGTGGATGGTTAATCAGGGTTAGGGTTCCATGGTGTTGCATAAGGGTGCTCTGTGGTTGCTATTCACTGCAACCCGTGGTACCACAATGACTGTTGAACAACGAACCAATTGTGTTTCCGAGAACACATATCAAAAACACGCACAGAAACATTCAAAGAACGAAGAATCTCGAACACACGGATTGAAATCGCATCTGTGGTTGGTCCAAAGCCTTTGTGCGCCAGCCTGTGCGTAAATCACGTCAGGTCCAGATCGAAGAACAGGGAAGGAAGTCTTGACTGCGACGGAGGCAACAAGGATCATATGGCCAGTCTCGCACATAATTTTACGGCCGGGCAGGAGGATACGCTCTCATTATTAGCATCGAGTGGCACCGGCGAATTTCGATTAACATCAAATCTGTCAAAGTCATGCATTTCGAAGCGATGAAGGCGAGTACCCTTAGGCTGCCGTTTCTATCAACTCTGTCCGCTCATCCGCTGTCAAATCACTTCTCGCTTTAGGTACATCTCCCCAGAGCGATACTAGTGCCACACTCACGGCTGATGCAGCAACCCCAAACCAAAACGTGTACTTGTAACTGCTCGCGAGTCCACGTCTTTCCATGGTAGTCACCTGTATCAAATCGGTGACCCCAAGCGTCAACGCGACTCCAAGTTGCAACACAGAGTTGAGCAACCCTCCCGCTAAACCTTGTTGCGTCTTTGGGAGTTTCGTTGTGATGAACACTGACATCAGGATTGTCGGAAGGTCGATACCAATCGTGCTGCATATCGTGGCAGGGAATATTCACGCCCAGTAACTCCAGCCCTCGAGCGGAACGTTGGCAAGAAGAAGTTGTGATGCCAAAGCGCCAAGGGTGCCGATTATCATTAAGATCCGTCCCGGAACAAGGTGCAGAATGAAACCCTCTATGACACTAAGAATTATCCCCGCCACACCGAGAGGTACGTACCAAACGGCTATTTGTAAAGGTGAAATGGACCATATGTTCTGGAAGAACAGTGTCCCATATACGGAGAAAATCCCCCAGCAGCCATAGAGAATGAGTATAGAAAGAAGCAGTGGGGCCATTGAAGGAATCATCAGGATCGAAGCGGGTAGAAGAGGTTGAGATGCTACCCTGACTTCGATGTAAACGGCAAACAGGAGAGACGCAATGCCTAGAACGAAGCAAACGGGAATGTATGGCGTGCGCCACCCCTGCGGAGCATGTGCGGATTGGGCGATAGAGGATACAGTGAGAACAAGTCCAGCTGCGATAGAGGCCGCACCGAGATAGTCCATCTCAACCCCAAGTGTGCGACCTTGCCGTATAGGTGTGTGAGGAATGGAGAAAACGGAGGCTACCAGTGCGGTTGTAGTCAAGATTGCACCTATCCAGAAGTAGTAACCCCAGTGCAAGAATTCGCCAACGACACCTGCAAGAAGAATACCTCAGAAGAATCCGAGAACGCCTGATGTGCCGTAGATCGCGAAGACAAGATTCTTGCGAGGACCTGGACGATACTGCGACCCCAAGAGCATGATGCCTGTTGGGAGTGCAGCAGCAGAACCAAGGCCCTGGAGGGTCCGACAGATATCGAGCATGATTGGATTGATGCTAAAACCTCCGACTATGCTCCACGCTAGGAGCCAAGTGAGGCCTCCCACATAAACAGGAAATCCAGCCCACATATCGCCCAGACGGCCAAAAATGAGCAGGGTGCTGGCGATCGCTAGGGAGAACGCACTGGCTGGCCACACAGCAGCCGCCTGTGGGATATCCAGTTGTCTGATCAAGGTAGGGAGGATGAGCGTGAACCCGAAACAAAATATTCCGTCATGAACTGAGACATAATGATACTGTAGACGAAAGCTGCTTCGTGCCAGTTGCTCGAGAATGCCTGTGGTCGCTCATCACCAAGCCTCTTGATTCGTGCTTCAAGGGTTTCTTCCATCTGAAGTTGCATTGTTTCAGGCTGGTTGGTGACGGAGCAAGTAGGCGAAGCATTGTTGGAGTCGTCGCTATTCATAGTTGGAGTGGATGGAGTAACCCGGTTGAACGCCTTATCTGCAGTGTCTTCGCCGTGCTTACTCGATAGATTTGGAGAGGAGAAGATTTGCACTGGATGGCCGTGTTTCGGGGACGGAGAGTAGTTATGCAGTTATTTGCGCGTCAAGATTATGGCGTCAAGAATCGATATTGCCGGCGGCTTTATGGTAGAGGGCGTAGGCGAGATAGCAATCGAGATGAGGAAAGCATACATTCAAGCTTGAGAAACATAATCTACCTTTTATTTGTGTGTTTCTCTAGATCGCGGGTCCAAGTGCTTCGTGCAACATGAACCGAACTCAACATCTTGGCTGCCTTTTTGGGATTGGTATTTTCAATCGCTCTACTGGGGTCGCTATCTATGCTGAATAATAGCAAAGATCACGACTAAGGCTTAGTATGGTCGACTGCTGTCCAAGAATCATAAGATGTGCTTGCTTTGGTGCTTATTGCTACAAAAGACTTGAGTCTACATTGAGATAGTTTGGATCTCGGGTTCATGGTGTCAGCAAAGTCTATACCAATTCGCATCAAGAGACCTTCAAGGAAGATCACTGGCACTCAAGCGATCGTGCTTAGCGGCCTTCCGCTGTCCACTGGACGGCTCTGAACTTACGGCTTGATCGACATCGTACTGACGCTGATACTCCAGAACTAGTTACTATGCTAGCTTGGGATAAGTAGGATAATGTAAGCAATCTGAACAACGCTCTAGTGTCTTGGCTGCGTTATCTGGTTTAGCGCCTTCCGATCTTTGCTTTGCAAATCACGACTCATTATTGCTGAAGCCGACGTCCGTGCACAGCGCGCACCCTGCTCGCCCTTCTGGGACGACGTTGGTTCTTTGTACGTAAATCATCATTGCTGTCCGCGTCGATTTGAATCATGTAGCTTTCATGCACTTTTGTTTCTAGTGATGACGATACCTGCGACCCAGAACAAAGCATGCCACAACTGCAGACGCAAGCGTCTCAAGTGCGATCGGAACGTGCCGACTTGTCTCAAATGTGCCCAGCGTGGATACGAATGCTTGGGTTATCAAAGCTTATTCCGGTGGGACCAAGGTTTGGCAAGCCGTGGAAAACTGAGAGGTACGACATTCAAAAGCCTGGCAAAAATGAAGGAGCGATCAAATCTGCATGAGTCACGATTGTTACGGTTCGTTCTGTTCAACGCTTTCCCGCTGTTAGATAAGCTGAAGCTCATTTGCGTAGGGTTATCGCTGATCCACTTCTGCAAGATCTGTGCAACGCCTCGAGAAGACATTTGTCTTACTGTAAGCCTTTAAATCCTTCATTGCTTTTGGAATGCCACATGTTGGATGCTTATGTTTATACTGCACTAGTCTCCAACAATGTGTGTCCAGACTTTGTTCTATACGATGCACCGTATAGTAACCCGTTTCGAACGCTCATCCCGTTAACCCAATGCTATCCTTGTCTATTACAAATCATCATTGCTATTTCAGCATTACACATGTCAAACGCATCTGAAGGTCACTTGGCGACTTCCCTCGATTTCACTCACGTAGTACCCCAATCTTCGGCACTATCAAGCGATCTTGCATTCTCGCAAAAGACCAATAATGAGTCTGCTCTCACAGCAAAGCAGCGAGCACTCGAATTGCTGAGCATTGCCATTGGTCAAATGGAACCGAAGGATTTGGATGGCATCTTGGCAACTGTTCTGCTCTTCGTCCAATTTGAAATCATGGATTCAGGACGGAACGAATGGAGAAACCACATTCGTGGTGCGAGAGTTCTTATTGACATGGCCCGTAGATCAGAGAACAACGCTGCACAGCCTATCTCTTCGTTGAGGCGTTGTTTGATCTCGAATCACTTGGTGTATGTCAAACTATGAAGACCCAGTCTGCTGTGACTAATTAACGCCAACCTAGATACGACATCGTCGGAGCAACGTTTGCCTCCTATGAGGGCACAGTGCCGAACGATACGTTTTCGAATGGTACACTTTCCTTGCTGCTGGACAATGAAGGAAATCATTGCTCGTCATTTCCGATGCCACTGTTGCATCTCCTACAGAATGGAGTTCGACTTTCGGAGAGCTCGGAGCTTTTCACAGACCCCGGACTTTGCACCGTCAGAGACAAGCAAGCGCATCTGCTACTAGAGTCTGCAAGATCATTCGATCCACAAGCATGGGCAGCCAATGTCCAGGTACATTCTCCCCACCCTGATCTTGCGGTGCGCACTCACATCGCTTCTGCGCATCAAGCCGCAACTTGTATCTACCTAACTCGTCTCTTGTTGAAAGAACCACCTACTCTCCAATCACTCCAAGATCTGGAGAATTTGGTACTCAAGATCCAAATTCACCTCTCCAACATATCACCGCACGATCCGGTCATAGCCGCGACTGCATGGCCATCCTTCATCGCTGGAGCTGAAGCCCATGAAAATACCACGGAATGCTGGGCACAGAACCAATTCCAGAATATCTGGGCGGTTCAACCGTGGGGGTTGATCAAAGGAGCACTAGCCGTTCTGAGAATGATATGGGCAAGACGAAGGCAGTATAGAGATCGCGAGGATACCCACACATCGGTCGATAAGGAAGAGAACGAAAATTGGGTCGCATATATGAGGAGGATTGGAGCCGACTGGCTCATATTGTAACAAGCGTCGAGTCATGATCTGTAGATATTACTAGAAATATGTGGCTGATTTCATACACAATCTTATTGCCTGGCAGGAGGATATGTTCTCATCGTTAGCATCGAGTGGCGTGAACGAAGTTCTACCACGTTCACTTAGCCAACGGCATGCTCGGCCGAGGTGCCGCTATATCTTAGCGCTTCACGGACATACGTTATTACAGCCAACAATACAAAAGCATGCTGCGATGCGCCCGCAATCTGACCGAAAACGCTCCGTCATCGATGTTTTACGGAGATAACAACGGCATTACAACCCGATGTCTCCGCTGACCAGTCGATTCACCCCTGCATTCTAGCTATGAAACAGAAGCATGAATCGCTATGAGATGGAAGAAGTCTTACCAGGCTTTGTTTGGTAGCTGGTGTAGACGTACTTAGGGATGTGAACAGCAACGTGCTCGCGCGGACATAGAGGAATATCTCCGTTGAAAGCCACCATCATCGAAGAATGCATCAGCAGTGATGATGCTAGCTACAAACATACGGCAGTACATATAAGTGTATAAGTCCTCGGATGAAAACATAGTTCAGTACGCCATCACAGTATAGCCTCGCCAACAGGTAATGTGATGGCCTCTTCGACCAAAACCATTGTCCTCATAACTGGTGGTATGTTCAACAAGAATACCCCAATGAGGAGAGTAATGCTGACAGATTTCCGGTACAGCAAATAGTGGCATCGGGTTGGAGCTGGCGACTCAGCTGCTGAGTGATGCGACGAAACACGTTCTTCTTGGTGCCCGCTCGATCGAAAAGGGCACAACCGCCGTAAGGGACCTTCAAGCTCGCAATCTCCCAGGCAGCGTGGAGCTACTCCATATCGGCGTCTCGAACGAGGATTCGATAACTACGGCAGCTAAGAAAGTGGAGGAAGAATATGGAAGGTGAGAACTGTTCAACTACTTTGCTTGATCAAGAGCTGATGAACTCCTAGGCTTGATGCCTTGCTCAACAACGCTGGTATCGCCGATAGCAACGACGAACGCATGTTCCATAAGCTCATTAATACATTCTGCACAAACGCCGCTGGACCATACGCCACTGTGGAAGCTTTCGCACCACTGCTGTCGAAGTCTCTATCGACGCCCCGCATCGTAAACGTCAGTTCGGGAGCCGGCTCGATCACCCTTCGCTTGGATCCAAAAGATGCTTTTCATAAGATGAAGCAGGATCAATATCGAATCAGCAAAGCCGCTCTGAACATGGTAACGGCCTGCCAAATCACCGAGTACCACCCCAGGGGGTGGAAGGTGTTTGTGTATTGCCCAGGGTGGACAGAGAGCAACTTTACCCCTCGCAATAGAACTGCCAACGGAGCAAAACCGACGAACGAAGCTGCGGTGCCTATAGTGAGAATACTAAACGGAGAACTAGATGCTGAGGCAGGTAAATTTTTGGCTCATGGTGGTATGAACCCATGGTAAATTCCGGCACCATGTCAAGATACCATCCATAGATGTAAACACCAAAACTACATACATTCCCATGGCTTAGCTCCCTCAGTGCTTCTTCGTATCCTTTCTCTCCCCCTCTTTTCTTCTGGATCGCATGCATGAAGATTGGGGCCGACTGGCCCATATTGTAACAATCGTCGAGTCATGATCCGTAGATATTACTAATCAATACAATTCTAATACAGGAGTCGAGAATGATACTAACAGAGTAGAGTCGGGCTGACTCTACAATAGTTCCTGCGACCTCAGAAACTATCTAGAGTAACACACACTGACCTCATGAAATCAGCACCCCGCAAACCCTCGATCACGGTCTGTGTGAGGTGCATATGAGGCGCACGTATCATGCTGTAAGCATCTCGCACCATTATCCGCCGCTAGCGGCACCTTCTCATGTGCAGCCGTAATAGATGTGCCTCGGAAAGAATGCCAGTCACTTTTACGTGACTCTCGGGGAAGCTCAACTGGATAACTGCTGCTTGAGCAGCTTACACCCTAGTATGACCTACATTCCCATGAACTTGAAGTTAGCCCAGTAAGTCCTGGAGTACTCAGCTGTACGTCGTGTGCGCTTCGGCTGCCATGTACCCCGAAGGCGTTGCGTACTCAGGCGGCGGCTGTTCCCACACCTGATCATAACTCGGGGGTATCATCGGCACCGGCTCATCTTGATCATCTCGGTCATGCTGCCCAGTCACTGTCCGAGACGTGGTTAAAGGACAAACGATGGTGTACGCCATCTCATCCATCTTCCTGTTGACCAGATTACCCGATGCTTCGTCAAACACGTCTTCTCCGATGCGCAGCCAAATGTGCAGTTCACACTCAAGATAGACTGCGAATCTCCTCTGTAACTCATTCAAGTCGCCATTAGATTCGTCAAGGATGGTACGTAAGACGTGTCCGCCTGCTACTGATAGTGCAGTGCTGGCGTCAAGGGAGAGATCCCTTGGTCCCAAGACGGTGAGTGGAACCGAAAATCCGGAGCCATCGGAATGCATGCTAATGGGCGTATTTCCAGGCCGCGTGAATGGGTATCTGAGCTTCAATTTCTCTTTCCCGGTTGCGAGTTTGCGCCTCTTCAGGATGCGTTGCGCGCTGGACATGGGTAGGTGACCGGTCGCATCCGGGCAGCCGGTGACAATCACTGCGGTCTCCTCCAGTACCCAGCGGATTTCGCGGGGCACGAGCCAGCGCGTTTCGGTGAAGCGCATAGAATTTGTGATAGGCAAACTGAGGCCGTTGAGCTGCAATGTCGTTGCGATTGTGGTATTCTTGGAGCTGAAGGTAGGGGGACCGAAGCTGGCGCGCACAGCGAAGGATGTGTCTGGGAAATACACTGTTCGTGATGGTTCCAGCCGTATCGGCTTAACAGTTTTGCGGATGATGCGCAGATCCTGGCTTGTCTGTAAGACCTTTCTATCCGGCAGAATGCAAGTTGCAAAGATAGCATAGGAGATGTTGACGGATGGAAGCATTGCTGTCGCAGGAAGGTATGACGGGATAGGCAGACTGAACTCGCACTTCGCCGTCTTTGATCCAGACCTCTCTTGCGGTGGACCAACGGAACAAACACATAACTTCTCAGCAGTCTCGTAGTCGAATTGCTCCCGTTTTTGCTCTTTCTGCGATCCTATGAGGCCAAGCTCGCCCATCAGCTTCCTTGAGGCACTATCAGGTTTCATCTTTTTGCCCTTCTCTAATCGTCCAACTCTTGCAAGCGCGATCTGAAAATCGCATTGTGTTGGCACATTGCTGAATGACAGCGTTCCGTGGAGAGAATCTGATGCGCCGTCCGCGGAGATGACGATGGTGTAGTCGACCGGAACCTGTAGCGCAAGTTTCGGTTTGCCCATAACGTTAATCCGAACCTGGGGTTGGTCTATTGCCCAGGAGTGATATGGACTCGCACATCTGGGGAAAAGAATTGATCTCGCGAGCGAGATTCAGTCTTTCCTCGACTCAACAAGCGAGAACGTGAGTGTTGCATATGCCTCGGGCGCCTTCCGGGCCGCTTCCGCAAGAGGCAGCCAAGACTCACTGACTACGCTCCTTAGGACTAGCGTCAGCCATCCCCATCAGATGCGCACCTTTCAGCGCTCGACGAGCCACGCTATCTATCTTGTCTATATAGTAGTCAACTCTCAAGTTGCGGCGAGTAGCTTACCAATGCTTAAGATTGATACTACAAACAACGTCTAGGTATGTTCTCGATTCCAGCCAAGAAGGTTGAAGCCATACATCAAGGTACGGGTCATGTAGTGGATATTCTGCACGCGGAACAAGATACTGAGGTGAGTAAGTCCTAACTTGTGATGGAAAGAATCCATGGTCAAAGACTATACGAAGCTAGCAGTACCGTACACAGTGAGTTGTAAACACCAAGACTAGATTCCGTGCGTTCGTTCCACTTCCCTAGTGCTTCTTCGCATCCTTTTCCCTCCTCTTTCCTTCAATCAGCGCATTGAGCCTGGAGAACGATGTGAATCCTTCAATAAAACACGTTCCCACCCATTTCCACCATACAGCGTCCATGAACGTGCATCCGTGTTTAGCCAGTTTCCTCGCCATGATGACTACTTCGACAGCGTGGATGGGCAACATACACACGAAGACAGTCCAGCCAATTCGAGCAACAAAGCTTGCAAAGCCTGGTATGAGATACAACATATTATCATAGAGGAGAGAGCCAGGCTGCCAGTTCACCTGCCGCGGTAGCAAAACCATGGCCAACACACACTGCGTAAAGTTCCACAGATGCGCAGGGTGTGTGTATGCTGGAACAAATTTCGTGATAGGTATGTCGCTTCGTCCCAGTGTCTGGAGAGCATCCTTGTCCAGCTGTACAAGTCGCTCGCGGGCCTCGCGCATAGCCTTCATGGGTGGATCGAAGGCGATGACGGCTTGTTGACCGCCACAGCTGAAGACCATTTGATTTAGATCAATATCGACCATCTGCGCCGAGCGGCTGTGGAACATGGATCTGGAAGCGTAGGCCTCGACGTATCGGCGAATCTGCGGTCAATATCAGGATCGAAATTCGGGCTTGACATCAGTGTTACCTGGGTGTGAGTGGCGCATACGGAGTCGTGGTGGTCTGCATTCATGTGCTTTATGATTCGCTGCTTGGCGGCCACGTCTGCGGCTGCGGAGTCTGGGGTAGTCATGTTGGCGATTTTGACGGTCTGATCAAGTGCGCTCGAAGTTCAGTCACTTGTTCGCTAATCGAAGTTTTGGAGGTGCTGTAGACGCAAACGCCATATGGTGACTGCGAGATCGGCGCTTGTCGGCCCGGCGGTCGTCGGGGAAGAACTGGCGCGCCCCGCGATTGCGTCTTCCCAACGATGGTTAGCACAACGCTCATGATATTGAATCCGTCGTGGAGTTCTCTCGAGGTTGCGCTACCTGAGGACTATTGTGCGCGCTACAAAGGCGCATTGGAAGTCTCACGCCAACACTAAGCGACCATTCCCGCACCCCATGGGTCAACGTTCCGCCTGGCCTACCGTTGGGCCTCGGATCTTGCGAGCTCCATATTCTGAGCTACGAGACGTCCTAAAGCGTTGATGTCAAGCGCGTTTGGCTGACGCGTTGCTCAATCCATCGCTTCTATGCTTGATGAGCGCGCCAATGACGAGCAAGCAAGGCAGAGGCAAAAGAGCTTGCAACGCATCGGGCTGGACGCAACAGCCAGACCGGCGCAAGCACGAATTCAGGCCTAAAAGAATCCGGTTGGCAGCGCGCAGGGATGGGGTCAAGTTTTGGGACGACTCGTGGTGGGGTGGATGTGGGTGCCACATGGTGCGTCAGACTGCATGACGGGTGGCTCGAGCTGGCAGGGGTAGCAGGTACCTTGAAGCTCCAAACCGGTTCCTGTTCCCAAGCCGCTTTTCTCTTATTAACGAATTGCGCCGTGGCCCTAGGCTTTTAACAATTTCCGAAGCACATTCAATTCGGCATATACACACGCCAGTACTCTAACTTGCACTCCATTCCTCCACCCCAAGAACCCACACAGCAAGCAGCAATGGCGGACACAGTCGAGGAGAGCAAGCAGTCTATGTCGGGAGAGGGAAACGCAGATGCCAACGCCTCGGTAGGCGCAAAGGGCAGCGCGGAATCATCGAGTAAGAAAACCGAAAGGAAGACGCCGAAGAAGCTGGGCGGAAAGAAGCCTCAACAGCAGCCCACTCCTGACGCCACTCCTGCCCCCGAAAGCGATGGCGAAGGGAAAGCTGAGAACGAGGACGCAGAATCCAAGAAGCAAAGCAACGGCGGCGACGCCGACAACGAATCCGACGCGGAACCCCAACAAGAGAAGAGCAAGTCGCAATCGAGACGCCGCCAGTCGCGTGGCCGTGGCCGACGAGGCGCAGACTCCGGTGCCGAATCTGATGCGCGATCCGATGTCTCGCAGTCTGGAGGCCGTCGCAACCGCCAGCGCCAAAAGAAGGGCGGCAAGGGCGGAGGCCCCCTAGACGACATCACCGAGAACGTGCCCGGAGCCGACGCCCTCAGTGGAGCCGGCGACATGGTCCAAAACACTGCTGGTAACGCCGTCAACTCGGTCGGTGACACTGCTGGAAAGGCCCTTGGTGGTCTCACTGGCGGCGGCGGCGGTGAAGAGGAGGGCGGAAAGGACGGAGGTGAACAGCTGAGACTGCGATTGGAGCTCAACCTCGACATTGAGATTCAGTTGAAGGCCAAGATTCACGGTGATCTTACGCTTGGATTGCTGTAAGTTGATTCTTCTTGTTATCCGCACGTTTGGAGCGCAATGCTAACTCTTGATAGTAACTAGATGTCGCACGAGGACGAATGCACGAAACGCATCGAATGTTATAATGGGATATCACCGTCGGCGTTTGCTTTGGAGTTTTGCATGTATTGTCATGACATATTGTAGTGCATACAACACAACAAATAACTTGCATCAACACAGTGTTCAATCCGTCGTGTTTGTTTTGATCGTGAAAGTCCCACGCGGTGCGCGTCGGTGCTCATTGCAATGTCGCATTCTTGGTATGACGTTTACCGAGCACTACGCCTGGCTATATCAGGACCAGGTTGTGTAATAATAGCTCTAAAGGGCCGAGAAAGTTGTAACGTCAAGTGCTATCGCAAGATGTACGAACTTGAAAACATCAATTGCTGTGCTCTAGAAATCTCATGAGCCGAGTATTGCACAGCTGCCACGAGCTAGATCGCGTGAGCGGGCGAGAGCAGCCTCGCGATAAGCGACTAACGGTCAGCCTAGCCGCTCTTGCAGCCAGGAAACCGGCTACACTTTCGCCATGTTCGCGCGCGTCGTCAGCTTGTCTTGAAATGTCGGTCGACTTGCAGTGCCAGCGCGCTTCACATTTTTTCTATACGTCATACAGCGGCTGTCCACCCGATATGGATGTCCGTCGCTCGATGTGGGTCTGACGTCAGTCACCAGCGATGCTGCGCGATCCGAAACGGTGAGACGGGTGGGCGGAACAGGGGTACGAGCTTGTAATGGCGGCTGCTGGCGTCCTTGCTTTTGGAGCTACAGAGGAACCCAGGCCGTTGCGAGTAATCTTGTTTTCGGAGTGGAGTCTGCAGGTGCTAGGTCGTGGCGTGCGTGGGTGTGTGGTAACCTCCGTCCTCTCTTGCTTGACCTTGGCTTGACTTCACATCTTGCTCGTGGTTGCTTTCGTACACCTCAGCTCAGCGCAATTCCCCTCTCTTCTCCAACAACAACACTCTTGAGCCGGATTTGCCTCCCGCCACAACCCAAAGCCTTGCATGATAGCAAGGATACCCGACGACATGGCAGACAAAGACGGCAACAACGACTCCGACTATGAGAACCAGCCGCACGAGCGGTCGACGATGCAGCAGGAGAAGGCTGTGAACGTGGCGAAGAAGAACAAGCGCGAATCAGGCCAACAATCCGCGAGATCGCGGTCCTCATCGCGCCGCGCCCGCCGCCAACGCATTGAAGAAGACAAGAAGAACGGAAAATACATGCACACAACCTCTCTCGAGGCCCTCGAGGAAGCCGACGCAAACGGCGATCTCCAAAAGATGGGCATGTTCGAGCGTATCGGCCCGGACAGCACATCCATGGACGGTCCCGTCACATATGCGCGCGCAATGCGAGGCGAGATCCCACTGCGCAGCACCCACCCCGACGAGCCGTATCGAATGGAGCCACAACAAAAGGGCAGCGAGTTGAAAGACCAGGATGGATTGAAGTTGACGTTGGAGGCGAATTTGGAAATTGAGATTGAACTCAAAGCGAGTATTCGTGGTGATTTGACGTTGAGCTTGTAGTAAGTACACACCCGCCCTTCGCCCCTTTCGCTTACATCGAGCCAAAATGACTGTAACGTGCGAGCGAAAGCGACGAAGGTGTCTTTGAAGAAAAGAGATCAGCGTGGACGAGTGCTAATTGGCATCACGCAGCCAATAACACAATTGTCGTTATCCTGTTCCTTGTTCGAAAGGCATCTTCCGTTCGCTCGCTCGCTTCTCTCGCGCCTTGCAGTCTAGGCTCCGCATTCCCTCCGTTCCACCCACTCTTCTCTTCATCTGCCATGTTCTTCCTTGCGCCAGCGTCCTGGCGGGTACACGTAGTAACTGAACTTAACAGCGAATAGTGCTTGATCCATGTCGCATTCCTACTTCCACGACGTTACGAACCCACCCCGACCCGGCACCTACCGTGACATCGGGAAGCGTATGTGGAGGATACTATTGGAGCGTTCCGGAGTTCTTTTTTGGCTTGCTTTGCGTGGGATTGGATAGCATATGAGAGATAAAAGAATGGATAATGACCACCGTTTTACTGGTTCGGTGGGCTTCCGTGACCCCTTGCATATCACGAGTTTCCCTGGTACCGAGATACTGCTCCGAGATGTGCGCTGTGGTGCTTGTGGTGGCCTGCAGCGATGCGGGGAAGTCGGACCTATTGCGACAGCATGACATGCGCAGGGGGAGGGCCTAGTGATGATCGCGATGTTGCCGATTGCTAACTGATGGCAGGCCTGATGTTGTGTTCCATGCGATGAAGTCTTCTGCACTCCGCCAGCCTCGCAATCATTCACTCGGTGCCGTAGGGTTGCGGAGATTATGGCTCGTAGTGTATGGATCACTACGCGGATATCGTCAGCATGCACAATAACCTTATCTCAGCGGGCGATGGCATGGCTTGTACCCTTTGAGTCGTTGAAGTTGTAAGCGCTTTGTTGTAGATGGACCCTCGTTACCAGCCATACACGAAGGTAGCCAGTGAGCAGCTGTGCAAAGTACCTCCACTTCATCATGTTCCTTCACTCACACTTTGGTAACGAATGACGAGGCCACAACGATGATGTACGCTTGTCTGTGCTGAATCCAGTATTCTCGACTGGCGACTTGAGCGAACGTTTTCCCTCCTCTGTACTGGATACTAGATTCGCCTTCATTCTATCAGTCTCGTCGCAACTTCAGTACTACCGTCCGGATCACAGCATCATCGTTCCCGAATCCATGCGGAACTCTATAAACACCGCGAGAAGTGGTTTGGGCGCTTTTGTGACACGCAGAAAAGATCCAGAGGGCGCTGAGATCGTCGGCACGCGGAGGTTTCGTGGGCGTATTAACGCAGTCGCAGCTGGTAAGTCAAATGCTGGCATATCAATGTTACAAACACCTTGATACTGACTCTGTGGTAGCAAGGAGACTTTGGAGTCGTGTCTTCAAGAGCGAGAATCGAACGAACGAGGCAGGTCCGTCTGTATTGAGGGTCGTTCCGAGCGTCAACTCTGCTCTGGGTGTGACAGCGCAGATGATGGATCCTGTAACAGTACATACATGTGATATTAACGCCTTGGCTGAAAATTGGGATGTCGGCTTGTTCCCTGGTTCCTTTCCTTCTGACGAGACTCTTCAAGGTTTAGTCGTCAGCTCTTCCGACCAAGCTTCCGCCGACGACGCTGCAATAGTACCTCTTCCTCTACAGTTTGCTGAAGAGATTCAGCAGCTCGGAAGGAAGTCATCTCCTCCCATCGTTACCGATTCCAGCCCCTACCAAGAGTCCGACCTTTCTTGCGAAACCGCCTCTCCTACCGGTAACACAGCCGTCAGCACCATCCACCACTCGCTGTCACTCTTTCCTCGCACTTCTTCCACACGCGCACACTCACCCGACTGGATACCCGCTCCTGATAATCCTCGCCGCTCGCTAGACACTCTCGCCATCGGATCCCGGCCAGGTTCGGAGGTGACCTCCAAACCTCACAGCGACATCGACTTACTTGTCAACAGCATCGAGCGATTCAGATTCACCACCCTCGTAAAATCCACAATCATCGATAACGTGCAGGACACACGGGATATCGTCTACATGACTAGTGCGAATCTGCTCAATATCGGATGGGACATGAAAAGGCTACTCGTTATCTGGTCCAGGATCACCTCGAACGCACCGGACGTCGGCGTGCTGCGTGTTCTCCACAGAGTTGCTAACAATCAATCCAAACTGATGAGACTGACTGACTGACTGATTGCTTGGCAGTCAGTTCAGTGTCAGTTTAGAGCTCTCGTCTTATCAGTCAGTTCAGTTTAGAGCTCTTAAACTG